GGCTCAAAAACACTACCTACTGCGCTATTCTCCCAAAACCTAAACCTCATGACTGGTTTTGTTTCCCTACATGATGACAACTAGAATAAAACTTAAAATAATTAGTGTCTGTTTCTGCACGCAGGCATATTGTGATTTAATCCGAGAGCATCAGATGAGATCAGGAGGTTCCCTGCTGTTCCATAAGCTGCACTAACACCATCATATCAAATCAAAAGAGCTCCAGCAGCGCAATCCTCTTAACCCGGCAGAGCTTAAATACAGGCCGCGGGTTCAGCTTTCAGAGCCTGCAGGGGAGCACCGGAGATGGGAAACTCCAGGAGCAGCGCGCTCTCCAGAGACGTCCTCCAGGAGCTGCAGACCAGCACCACATACAGCCAGGAGCAGCTCTTCTCCTGGTACCAGAAGTTCCTGAACGAGTGTCCGACGGGCCGCATCAGCAGAGAGCAGTTCCAGAGCATCTACGCCAGCTTCTTCCCAGACGCAGACCCCGGGGCATACGCCCAGCACGTCTTCAGGAGCTTCGACGCAGACAGTGACGGCACGCTGGACTTCAAGGAGTACATAGTGGCGCTGCACCTCACTTCCTCCGGCAAGACTGTGGAAAAGCTGGAGTGGGCCTTCGCACTCTATGATGTGGACCGGAACGGCAGCATCACCAAAAACGAGATCCACGAGATCGTCAAGGTGAAAAAAATTAATGAAAAAAATACTACAGAAATCTATAGTTAATGCAGTAACATCTGCTGTGAGGTAATTGAATTAGTTGCTATAGTAACATGGCAACGATAGTAATTGATATGTAGTGGTCATTCTATAGTTGCTATGGCAACACAACGACTGTAGTAATTGACTATAGTAATTGATATGCGGTCATTTAATTGTTGCTATGGCAACACGGCGACTAATAATTGAAATGTTGTGGTCATTCCATAGTTGCTATGTCAACACGGTAACTAGTAGTTTATATGGTGTGCTGATTCTACAGTTGCTATGGCAACATGTTAACTATAGTAATTGACATGTAGTCATTCTATAGTTGCTATGGCAACACGGCGACTATAGTAATTGATATGTTGCGGTCATTTTATAGTTGCTATGGCAAAACAGCGACTATTGTAATTGAAATATTGTCTTCATTCCATAGTTGCTATGGCAACACGGTAACTATATTAATTTTATAAGGTGTGGTGATTCTACAGTTGCTATGGCAACATGTTAACTATAGTAATTGACATGTGGTCATTCTATAGTTGCTATGGCAACACAGCGACTATTGTAATTGAAATGTTGTGGTCATTCCATAGTTGCTATGGCAACACGGTAACTATATTAATTTTATATGGTGTGGTGATTCTACAGTTGCTATGGCAACATGGTAACTATAGTAATTGACATGTTGTGATCATTCTATAGTTGCTATGGCGACATGGTAACTATAGTAATTGATATGTTGTAGTCATTTTTTAGTTGCTATGGCAAAATGGCGACTATAATAATTGATTTGTTGCAGTCATTCTATAGTTGCTATGGCAACACGGCGACTATAGTAATTGATATGTTGCGGTCATTTTATAGTTGCTATGGCAACACAGCGACTATTGTAATTGAAATGTTGTGGTCATTTTATAGTTGCTATGGCAACACGGTAAGTATATTAATTTATATGGTGTGGTGATTCTACAGTTGCTATGACAACATGGTAACTATAGTAATTGGTATGTTGTGGTCATACTATTAGTTGCTATGGCAACATGGCGACTATAGTAATTGAAATGCTGTCATTTCATAGTTGCTATGGCAAAACGGTA